ATCTGGAGGTTATTGGAATTTTTTCGAATAGCGTGGATGGGTTTGTAATTTTCAAAGTTAGCGAATAGATTGGGAAACTTGTTAAAACACTGTTTCATCTTAAAGTTATTTTTAGTTAAGTTTCGATCGGAATCTATGTCTTGGGTGATTTTAAACCTTGAGAATATGAACTTAGGTAATATTTAAGAGTAACGGTGAGTTGGGTTGAGCCGTGTTAGTGCGCTTAGTTTGGGATTACTCAGTTCGTATTCTTTAGTATTTTTAAATTAGCAGTGACGTGTAGTTTCATATTGGTTCAGGCACTAGTTGGACTTTCATACTCTACTTCGAGGATTACATTATTTTGTTCCAGGTGAGGTAGTTTCATGCTACATATTTTTATAAAGTTTCCCATACCCTGAACTGTTGGAAAATTAAATTGTTGTTCATTATTAACTGTTTGATAAATTATTATATTATCAATTGAATCAAATTATTTCTGAAACATGTGTGAACTTGGCATACTGTAAACTATTTGTTTTGGTCTCATGTTTATAATATGAACTACCATGTTTTGCGAAACTGATGTGTATTGATTATTGGGACCATGTGTGTATTAGTCCAGGGAAATTATTCCATGTGTGTGGTGACTCTGGCCACTAGGGAACAGATCCGGGTTGGGCCGTGATGACTCTAGTGCTCAACGATTGTAAGGAACAGACTTTAAAAACAACTAGGTGACCTTCAAATCGGATCGTCTTTGAGAAAGGCCCAGTGCCACCCTGAGATGATCTTTAGTTCGGTATTTGGATCCAACGGGGCTATAGCCTGAGAAATGTTGTGGCGATTAATTTGTTTTTATTGGTACCATAAAATTAATTGGTGTTCATGTTATAATCTGTTTTAAGTGAAAAATGTCGTTTTATCATGTTCTTGCGAGACATGAGTATTTTAAGTGTTGAATTGTGGAACCTTCTTTTTGAAACAGATTGCTTTATCAAAAGTGTATGCCAATCTAGTTTCTGTGATATATATCTTATTTTGGAATTGAACCCTGTTTTCAAAACTGTATTTACTATCCATGTTGCTACTCACTGAGCTATCAGCTGACTTAGTTGTTTACCATTTCCAGGTGTTAGATGGACTTAGAGTGGACTCATGGCGTAGCGGGGACTCAATTGCATGGACCTCTAGGGCATTTATTTAATTTTCTTTTAGGTTGCTTTGTCGAGTTTTGTGCATACTTTGTGATTGGGTTTTATTTAGAATTATTTTATTTTGTGGGTTGTTTATATCCCATAAGTTTGGATGGTTTTTGATTGCGGTTGATTTTGCCGTTTATAATTGTGGCATGTCTGGATTGAGTTTTGGTTATTTATTATTGGACTATTGTTCAGTTGTTCAATGTGATTGGATTCGTGTTTAGGCTTACGTGTGCCTTGGGCTAAGTCCCTGTGGGCCACGGCCGGTCATGCCCGGATTTGGGGTAATCCCCATTACGATTCTAAAAAAGTTGACATTGGGTTGGGAAGGGATTAAATCCCAATGGCAAAGCACAGCCCTAAGGAATGGGTGAAGGGGGAAACAGACTCCACCCTTTGCGATTGATAGGAGATGGAAGACAATCGTGGTTTCATCAGCCCTCTCCATATCGAGGGTGCCGTCTGCCACAAGTGACAGATGAACGTCATCAGGAATGGAGAAATGGCATTGGAAGCCAGAAATTCGATCCGAGGAGAGGAGATCTTTTAAATGTTTTGCCATTTCCTTCAGCCTATAGGAATATGCTAAGCCAAAAACAAAGCAACATAAAAGATTCAGAGTAGAGAGGGAGAGAACTTACAAGAGACGAAGAGGATAGTGAAGAAAAGGAAGTTGCAAAGGTAATTCGGAGGGCAGTCCAGCGACGAGCGTCTAAAAGTGTATATGTATTTAAAAAGATGTCAAAATTTTAAATCACAATAAATAGAAGTGTACGAAGGGGCGAGAAGTTGAAATGATAACCGAGAAGCATGTGCTTAGACATTTGCGTTGGAATGAGGTCAGCCGCCGAATTTCGGCTCTGACTTTTCGAGTTCGAAACCAAACACTCCAGCCAACTGTTGTCAGTGAAGTGCTTGGGGGCAATTGTGGGGGCCGAATATTGGGAGTCGTAGAGAGGCCGAATAGTCAAACTTGGAGAGTCGAAATATATAGCACTCGGCGTCGTCTCACACGCTCGAATCCTATCCTATTCGGCCAAATAGCTGATTGAGCAAGGGGTCGATTTAGCAAGGGGCCGAGTGAAAAGCGGTTTGCTACAAAAGAAGCCGAATGGTGAATTGAAAGTGGACCCAATCCCGAGGCCCAAGAAAGAAAAGATATAAATAGAAGAACATCAACCAGAAAGAGGTACGTGAGAACTATTGCGCTTAATTTAAAATACAAGTAATTCAAAGTATAGAAACTGATTTGCCCGTCGGAGTGCTAATTCCTGCACCCTCGACCGGAGTGTTTATTCCTTTTCAGGTGATTAGGTGAGGATCACGAGTGTCCCCCAGAATCAGAAGAGTATTTTTAAACCATTTCTCCACATCATCCAATCCTTTTTTTTTTTTTTTTTTTAAAAGGATCAACAAATTGTTTTGTTCTTTTTGACTACGAATAAATTTGTTTTCAACCACGGATTGAGTTTTGATGTTGTCAAAGACTGTACAGTCATCTACTGTCACATAATGTTTTGTTACTTTCTATTTTATTTTTAAAAAATAAAAAAGAAAGAGTTACCATCATTATGTTGAATTACCCTAGATAAACTACACTGACATTCAGTTTGATACAAACAACGTCAATCTTTTTAGTCCTTAAAACAACTTTTTGGACAGTCAGATGTTTTAATACAAAATTAAATAACTAAAATCTTAGGTTTTGTTTTTTTAATTTTAATTTTTTTTTATGTACTCTTACAATACGCCTCATTCAATCGTAATTTCAAAGAAAAATAGAATTTTGTATATTATTTTGTTCACTACAACAAAGACTTTTCCTCAGCATAAAAGAAAGGTTGTGGAATGAAAAAATTGTCAAATCATAGCTCAGAGGAAGGATTTTCTTCTATCAAAATTTAGGAGTAAATATTCAATATCATAGTGATGTTATATCATATCAGTCCAGCCATGCATATCCTGGTTGCACATTATTACATAATTGAGTATACAATGATTGTGTAACCGCCACATATATGTGGTGGGGTTAATTATACTTATATTGTAGTTTGTTATTTGATAGTGATACTATGCATCGGTGACAATGTGGTATCACCATTGTATAAAAAAAAAATTTCTCCAAAATATAGTGAACAATGTTGTCTGGGTCTATTGTACCCACCATCAGTCCATGGGGCTCATTCTTTTATGAACGATATACTACATAGAAACTTACAAAATAAACAAACACAAAACGATCTGACTCATCTTGTGGATTGTTGTATTCCTCCCTTCTTTTCCCAACTTGTTTAAATCCCTTTTTAGTGGATGGTTTATTTGGATGATTTTTCTCATTTACTATTTTGTAGATGGTTTCTCCCATTTTTTTTATCTTTCCCAATTCTGTGAGTGGGATCTTCTTTTTTTTTTAATTTTTATTTTATTTTAATATTGTTTTTCCCTTTTTATGTGTTTTTTGTGGGAAAATAATGAGATAACTAATTAAAGGACATGATTGAAGCTATTAACCTATTTTTTTTCTTGGAATTTTTATTTTTTATTTTTTTAAATCTGGTATTTTCACTTCAAATTCATTTTTTTCTTAAATAAATACAAAATCTTCTTTATTGAACAAGGTATCATCTTTAATTGCATATTTCAATGTCTAGGTTATCTTAGTCTTGAAATTGTCATGCATGCATTCGTTTAACAATTCTAAAATTAAGAATCAAAGTGATGATAAGTACAGACCGACCTTTAGTTAGGCAAAATGAGTGCCTAACACCTACACATCTTGTACCTAAGTTTCCGAACCTAGTTCATTGGTTATGATAGACTAGTTCCTTGTTGGTGGAGTCATTATGGTTCTTGGACCTTAAAACCAAGGGCAACTCTAGTTTTTGAACCTCCAATCAATTGTCAAAAGCCTGTGGGAATTGATTTTGTGGGCTTCAGATTATGACTATTTGACTATTATTGGCTTGATCTTTTTTGATGCCAGTATAATACAAAATAGAGAGGCTTAGGGGTTGATTACGTGATTCATGTATTTTAATTTTTCTAGTTAAGTTCTTCTTAACTTTATTTATAAAAAAAAGAAAATCGAGAGGCTTAGGGGTTGGTTGTATGGCTGCGAGTAGCAGTAGTAGGGGTATTTTTATACTGCTGAATCTCTCTCGATGCATGTCATTTTCCTGTACTTTTAATTTCATGCTGTTAAATGAAATTTTTCTTTGCTGATCAAAAAAAATAATACAAAATATGAGATTTCAAGCCATTGCACGTACACCTTACAAACCCAATTCCAAGTGCCACGTCTAGCACATTGTAACCAATAAAAATCATGACTTTGCAACTTCACAAACTTGTGGCTAAAGTAAAACAAATTATATGAGATCTGAAGCTTCTAAAAAACACTCAAGAAACCATATGTGCATCACAATCATTACATGATTAATCAAACAACATATATGTGCATTTTTTACAAGATTTGAAACAAATGCAACTCAAGATTTCCATCTAAAAAGAGAAAAAAGAAGGAAAAACAAAAGAAAATATATGACAATACATATATTATTTGATGATACGTACTTCACCATTACAAGTAGAACAGTACAATATGCCCTAAAGCATTGGCTTAGTTGGTAAGGGATGTTTAAACCAGGAGATAATAGATGCAAATTATTTCCTATAAAGCAAATGAAAAACAAAGGAAAAAAAGAAAAAAGTGGAAGAAAAGTACAATAGTATCGAATACGCATTAAGTAGTTAAAACTACTTTAGAAACTGCATCATTTCATATGGTTCATTAAAATAAGTAGTAGGATATTTGCTTAATCAGGGTTCAGTGGAAGCAACAAGAGCATACGAACCTAGATCACCTTCAGCTGCAGCCTCATCATCGATGTTTTTGCATTCATGGTAAAACACAGTGAACGTCACAAACATGAAATAGTTCAGCAAGCAAGTTATGAAGGCACGGGAAATAAGGATAGCGAGCGATGCCTGAGTTGCGAGATTACAATTCCTCATAATGACGAAGGTTATTCCAAAGACAACACAACTAGTTAGGAGAACCATAACACAACCCTTAATCTTCTTGCCTTTCATGAGCTCACTGGCTCTGTCAATCGCCTTTAGACCACATGAATCATCTTCTACTATCGAAACCACTAGGCTCAACATCCAAATAGCCCGCACATAAAGATAACCAAATACTCCTAAAATGATTGCTATAGTTAATAGACCTACTAAAAGAGGACCACCAACTATAAAAATGACTAGCGCAATAGTGATCCAGAAGAGAGCAATAAGGGAGAAAGAGATTAGAGCCATGTAAATGCTAGTAGTCACCGGACTTTTCCACCTTCCTTTAATCCTTGAAAACACATCTTTTGCGCTCACTATTTTCCCTGTGTAGGCATCAGATGACAATGAAATAGTAGTCATTAAGAAAAATAGCATGATTACATAAGAAAATAGCCATTTTACCAACAGCAGGACTACAAAACGTCGGACATCGTTTAAGATTCCACTTTGCAAGAATTCATTGAATTCATTGCCTTCGTGATATTTTCCAATAAGCGACAACCTCCAAGTTAAATCTTTCAACAAGGGCGACAATTCTAGATTAACACCATATGCCAACAGACAGTATGAAAGAAACACTGAGAGGAAGATGGAGACCACGATGGTCCCATTCCTAATGCTGATTTTGAGGGATTTGTGTATAATTGAAAAAACTCCAATGGAAGATTGTGATTTTGATGAGTTCTCCACATGTTTATCAATTTGGTTTTTTGATATGGTTAGGCTCATATGAGGAGATGATAGATTAAGCTTAAGCATTTTGTTTTTGGTACAATCAAATTCAAGACAAATTTTGATTTATATATAGAAGTCAATGTTGGACACATGTTTATCCATTTCCTTTTGGTAGTGATTACTACTAGGATGAAACTAATAATTAATGACAAGAGGGTCGATAATTTGTAGGCCATAGAATACTACGATCTTGGGAACTTATGGTTGTCCAATTCTAATTTATCAAATTGAATAATCATCCAATCTTTTGTTTTTATTTTTATTTTATTTTATTTGAAGTAGATGGTATACCATTTTGTTTTGCCTTTTTTTTTTAAAAAAAAAAAAACTAAATATTAACATGTTTTCCCAAATATATGAGCATTTTAGTTTTAATACAAAATTAAATAACTAATAAACTTAGTTTTTTTATTTTATTTTAGTTATATACTCTTTATAATGAGCCTCTTCGAATGCTAATTTCAAGACCAAATAGGTTTTTATTTTTATTTTGTTTGCTACAACAAAGACTTGTCCTCAGCATAAAAAGAAAGGTTGTGGGATGAGATTTTTGCTAAATTATCCCAAGAAGAAGGATTCTCTTTAATCCAAATCTAGGAGTAAAAATTCAGTGTAGTATATGTAACTGCCACATGTACATTTCATAGTTTATTTTTAGCTAGTGGCACTATGTGTCACTACTAACGTAAATTGAATTTTTTTTCGAAATGTAGACTTAACAATATTGTCGAGATCAATTGTGCCCACCACAAGACTGTGGAGCTCATTTTTTATGAGTAAAAATTTATTACACAAGAACTTACAAAATAAACGGCTAAAAAACCAATAGATCTACAAAATTAATAAATATAATATACATTAGTCACAAGGGAAGGAAAAATGAGCTGTGCAAACACAACTTTACAGAAATACAAGGTTTTGATGCTAAGATTTTAAAGAAGTCTAAGTGCACAGAAAGTTTCGAATACAGGAAACACATATATGACATATATATTTGTAATTACAGATGTTAATATTTTTTATCTCAAACATCTATATATGTGTTTGAAATATTTTATACACGTAGCACAACTATAAAATTTAGGGCAACTTACAAGTACCTCTCTCGAAGTTTAGCTAAATTACAAATATCCCCCTGAGGTTTCAAAAATTACATCTCACCCCCTGAGGTTTGTATTTTCATAACAATTTGTCACCTCAGGTTTATATTTCATAACAAATTATCCCCTAATTTGTTATGCAAATATAGCATTCAGGGAGGAATTTGTAATTTCTCAAACCTCAATGGGTATCTGTAATTTAGCCAAATCTCGAGGGGTATATCTAATTTGCCCTAAAATTTATGAGTTGATGGGCACTTGCCTGAAAGTTCTTATGCATATGAGAAAAGCTATGGACGGCGATTAATCCATCCAAAAAAATTTTGATGGATAATTGTATGATAGAGATTAATTTATATAGTGTGTAATTCATTTATCAAATTGTTGGCTACACATTTTGTGCTAACCAATAACAAATCGACGCGTGGCAAAGTAAGGGTAATATGGGGAGACCAGGTAGATCTTTGATCCTGATCATACACGTGGCAGTCACTATTGGAATAAAGAGACACACGGTGACGTGGCTTCAACGGTTGCTCATATTCAAATTCAAATATAAGGGGGAAGCCTAACTGCAAGTGAAGGCGTAGTGGAACTACTTATAAGGTAGCATGATCAGCGATTATGGAGGAGCAATTCGACGGTTTGAAATGCAATTCGACGGTTATCTTCGGAAAGTATAAATAGCAGGAAGGACTTCAGAGAGAGGACGAAGAAAAAGAGTTGAAGAATTACTTTACATATTCCAGTTTTATTTCCTGTTCTTTATATTTCTGTACTTTAAGTTCCTGCGTTGCACTTCATTTGTAGGAGTAGTTTTCGAGTACATTGCTGCTGTAATTCTCTACGGAACTAAGATCATTGTAAGTTTCTCATACTAATGAAATACTTCAGTTTATTTAACTGTCCTTATGCTCAAATTCTCTGAAGTCAAATTACCAGTAAGCCACCAGTAAAAGTCCTCTTTATTGAGGCTAAAAGAACCATAACACAATCGTCTGAATAATTGGTTGGCAATTACAATTCTGTAAGGACTGATTGATCCTTACTGGCACGCTCATAATTACAAAAGTAACCTTCGAAAGCCAAAAAGCCAACATATATTTTTGGCACGCCCAGTGGGACACGTAAAAATGGCTAGACGTAGGAGACAAGGAGAAAATGAACGTTTGGAAGAAGGCGTGGAAGGAGAGGTGGAGACATCCAATCCGGAGGATAATGTGATAATACATCCTGTAGAGACTCCTATCCTATCGGAACCCATGGTCGAACAGACCAATACTTCAGAGCAAATACCATTTGTCCGTAATAATGGACGAGACCAAGGAATTGGACCATCCGTTGTCCCGTCTGCTCAGCCAGTTAATCCGTGGAGTGGCTTGGTAGATGCCATGGGACAGCAATTAATAAACACAATGGAAAGGTGGGCGGTATCCTTTTTGGATCGAGTGAATAATCACCAACCAACGAATGTAAGACACATAGAGGAGGTGAATGTCCCTCAGCAAAGATTGGCTAGAGACAAACAGCCTATGCAAGCTAATGGACATTCTAATGGGCAAACCAGTAATCAGATTCATGAAAGATTGCCACCTCAGTCTTGGTACGAACCCATTTCGAGGCCTGTAGCAGGCCAGAATGCCTCAATATTCAACAGTGAAGCCATGCAAATTGGTGGATCTAGCCCGGTGCAAGAAAATGGCATAAGAATGATTTCAAATCCCACATTCGAAGCCATACCTGGCACCAGGAGGTACAATAATCCCTTATTCGAATTTATACCCGGGGGGTTGGAAGGTTTTCCTACAAGTGAAAGGGATACAATACCTGTTCCAGCACCTTTCGTGGGTCCTTTCGCAGGACAGGCTCAAAAAGGTCATCTATACCCCCAACAGCAGCCTGTACCACAGGGACTGCCAGCCCCGAATATACCACCTTATGGACCAAGGGGACCACAAGCACAAGTTTGTCCGCCAAATCCTGTGTTTGTTCCCCCAGTAGTGGTTCAGTAGGCACAAAATATGGTCCCTAGGGACCAAATTACTGAGATAGTTAGGGAGTTGTGTGGGCCAATGGCTCGGGGGGTCCAAACTCCTGTGTATAGAAAACCATACCCAGAATGGGTCGATAGGGTACATGAATATCCAAGAGGTTTCAGGATACCAGATTTTGTCCTCTTTCAATGGAACGGAAACCAGTCAACAGTAGAGCATATTGCTAGGTTTGCCGCTCAATGTGGTGAATTTACCAATCATGACTATATAAAGTTGAGACTATTCCACGAATTCTTTAACTGGGGGGGCGTTTGTGTGGTACGTTAATCTTTCACCTGGCTCCATCCAGACTTGGCAGCAAATGGAAGAGGCATTTCATGCCAATTCTTCCAATCAAAGCCAGAAGTTTCCATGGCAGACTTGGCCAGATTGAGTCAAAGGCCTGAAGAGAAGGCTACTCAATTTATTTCCAGATTTAAGAGGGCTCGAAATAAATGTAGAGTATTTTGCCAGAAACTGAATTTGTAAGATTGGCCCAAAATGGCCTAGAGTTCAGGCTTCGAAAGAAGTTTGATTCAACAGAGTTTAGAGATTTAGTGGAACTGACTTATAAAGTATCTAGATATGAGGCATTACTAGAAGAGGAACAGGATCGAAATAATGCGTCATATAAGACATACTACAAAGATCCTAATTATGAGATTGATGCAGCAGAAATTGTAGGAAAGAGCCTATGATCTGTGAAGCGTTAATTCATAAAGATACGACAATTGACCAGCAGTTTAAAAAGAAAGATCTCCACAGGAAATATTCTTTCGATTTAATTAAGGCAGATGACATTTTTGATCATTTGCTTGCTGCCAACTTCCTTAAGTTACCAAAAGGTGTTAAAATCCCATCTCTTGATGAACTTAAAGGAAAAATATATTGTAAATGGCATAATTCTTGGTCTCACTCGACTAAAAACTGTGTTGTTTTTCGAGACAGGATCCAAGAACAAATTCGGAAAGAGAGTTTAGAAGTTCCCAGCCAAAGCTGAAAAAGCCATGGGGATTGATAGCAATCCATTTCCAGAAATTGGAGAGGTGGCAGCCAATGTCATCATGTTAGACTTTTAGAACCTGTCTTTGAAAGAATTGGAGGAAGTCAATGTACAGATGCATGTGGCCAACCAGACAGCAACCAAAAAAGACCTTAGAAGACCACCAGCTATGGGACGAGATTTCTCACATCAGAGGGAAGATTCTGATGAGGAAGCACTGGATGATGATTCCCTAGAGGCAGCCGTGATGCAACGAATGTGTCCCAGGTGCAGACTGAGTTATAAGTGGTTGAAAGGCCTTCCAGTCGATGGGAAGCAGTATTACAGGGATGTGCAGAGGCATACCAAACCAACCAATGCTTATAATAAAAGGCCGTATCCGGCTAACGTTAGGCGGCAGCCATTAGTGGTTGAGCCTGTAGGTGAGAGAATGCATACTAAAGGCAAGAGGCCCTTATATGAGTCCAGATCACCTAACTATTACAGGTTGGAGAGTAGTCATTCTGAAAGAAGGTTGGAGAAAAGTTCAGGTTTTGGAATCAAAAACAGGAATTGGCCCCTTGGGCCAGCTTCACGAAGGACAGAGAATGATCACCATCATCGAAAACCTGAATCAGGCTCAAAGCTTGGGGACAGGGCCAAACAGTTGTTTTCACAGCCAGCTTTGAAGGTGCCCTCGAAGGAAGACAGAAGCAGCTCAACGTCTAGGTCAGTAAGTTCGTGGGTACCTGGAGTCCTAGATTGGTTTGTAATGCAAAACAAACCTAGGGAAATGCCTACCCAAATGAGTTTTGGAAATCAAAGTAGGATGGTTAAGCCTCCTTTGGTGGCCCCCAACAACTGGGTATTGCTGAAACACCCAAGAATGAGGGAACCAGATATGGTCCC